TGTGCTACAGAATCTGTCTTCCTTTGCCCCAGAGACATCTCGGTGCCGAGCAGAGCGCGGGAGTGTGCCACAGAAATCCATTCCTTCTCCTTTGAGACACTTGGTGAGTACCTACCCTGCACCTGAAAAGGTGTGCCTCACACTGTAAGGGGGGGGTGGAAGTCAGGGTCCCTGCCCTCAAAGGGCAAACTTCAAAGGAAAGCCCAGATAGTTTCAATGAACTCTAGTGGAATGCAATTACCACTCTGGGCACGTGGCAAGCTGCACAATGGACTGAACCCTGTTTGTGTCTAGGGATGTTAAAGGCATATCCTTATGTTTGCCCACACTTCTATTTTCCCTTTGGTAAACTGTGTATTTATCTGCCTCCTTAACTAATGGAAAAGTTGAAATCCTTTGGCTGTAGGAGAACCACCACGCAGGGTGGCTTAAACAGAAAAGCGTAAGTAAAAATTGAAAAAAGGTGGGTACTCTCAGAGGACACAGACTATTTTCTGAGAAAAGCTTTTCCTGGTTATTCTGTCTACAAGACCCCTCCCCCACTACCTTTTCCCTAGCACTTTACCCCATGAGGGGCCCCACTTCTGCCCACCCAATCACCTTCTTCCCCTCTATCCAGCTTTATTTTCCTCATAGCACTCTCTGAGAGTAAATGTTTTATCAACCAGTTTGCTGGTTCAATCACCACCATCCATGCAGGCAGGGTCATAGTCTCTCTCACTTGCTGCTATATGTGGCCCAGTGCCTACAGCAGTGCTGGTCACTGATTGAACGAATGGCCCATCACACAGAACTCTGGACAGGGGATGCAACAAGGTCTCACGAGGGACCAGAACCAGAAACTGGAACCAGGACAGCTGCCCGCTGTCTCACACTCCGTTCCCTCTTTGCTTGTCTCTGGGGCCCTAGCCTCAGCTTCTCCCTTCACTTCCCACTGCATCCCTCTTTGCTTTCTCCACTCCCGCTTCAGAGCTGAAAACCAGTTGCAGTTTCCCATCCCCTTAGGATAAAATCCAAAATCCTTCCAATAACTTACAAGCCCTTTATGACCTGTCCCCTCGGTCTCATCTCTCTCATTATTTCATTCAACCACTCTTTGCTCTGGTACTCGGAGGAGAATTAGAAGCACTCACCTCTGAGTCTTAGAATAAGGTGTCTCCTCTTCCTAGAGCACTCTTTCCCTCTCACCTCCACAGGCCCTCATCTTCTCATCCTGCACAGGGTTAGATGACCCTGCTAATGCCACTCCCATCACAGCTTATGCTCTAAATTGCTTCCTATCTCCCTAACTAAAATGTAGGCTCCACAGAAAACGACCAGTCCTGCCTTGCTCACCACTGCATCTGAGCACAGCATGTAGATGCTCATATAAATAAATGAACTGTATATCGGTAATGGCTCTTCACTAAGGGGCTGTGACAAGAATAAAATAGCGATTCACCATGGCAGGGAATGTGTCTGCCTTGTCTAGCTGTATTCCCCATGTGTGGAAGAATAAACACCCAATAAATATTTGTTGAATGAATAAATTCCTGGCTTACCTAATGTAACTCCACCCCTTTCTCTCCCACTTGAGAAAACATATCAGAATGCAAGTGGGTAAAAAATTACATTATTAAAGGAACATCTCTGAATCATCTGAAAGACCCACACTTTATCATTTATTACTTGTCATAAAATTACTGGCCACATAACTCAAAATTGATCATCACATATGAAGTAGCTAAAACAAAACTAAGAAATATGAAGCACTTTCTGCTCTCATATTTTCCAAAAGATGAAGGTGACAATAAGTCCAGTAAGAACTAATAATGGAATCCTTCGTACTCTCACTTTTCTTTTTATAAAACAGATTCTGCACACCTCAGGAGAAACCTTTAATTAAACTGAAAGAAGTTTAAAATACGTTTTTTCCCATGCCAATGAAATCCACAAAGTTGCTGTGGTCTCCATTCAAAAGCCAACATACAGCCCCACATACATACTTTAGGGAGGCCACGGCTGATCGCCACACAGCAGATACAAAACCACTGCCTCAATGTGACAGTATTAGTCTCCCTCAAATGTAGCAACTGGTATGTTCTTGGGGTTTTGGGGGCTTTCTGTGTACATGCTTTATCTTTTGCATAAAACATGTTCGGTAAAGTTGCTGGGATCTGAATCAACCTGGTTTTATTTTTGTTCGCATAAAACATCCCCAAATATTGATCACATGATGAAATACAACCAAAAATGAAAAGTCCTAGTGAAGGTTTCAGTCTTGGTGTGTTAAAGAGAGAAACAAATAAATCTGAGCAAGCCAGACAAGAAACCATACAGACAGCCACATACCCCAAACAAGGCTAAAGTTAGTAAAGGAATATATAGCAACCCAAAGCCAGGAACATCATGGCCCTTAATAGCCTACAGAATTAGACACTCCATCCACACCAACAGATCAGAGCTCTTCAGATCACCCCACACGCCAAGTGACGCTGAGTAACAGTAAAGATTTTGTTTTATTAAAAAAAAAAAAAAAATCAAAAGGCTTTTAGTCTATAAAGGACACTAGTGTTTGATGCCTTTGGGCCCAAATTAGACAGGATGATGAGAAAAGGGAAAGTGTTAGGGTGTATTTCAAGGTTTCTTATTACTACACCAAAGGGAGGGGGAGTCAAGGCAAAGTGCCAAGGTTAAAACAAAAACATCATCTAAAAATCAGGAGCTGCTTATTTAAAGAAGTAAAGATCATAAACTCTTCAAGCAACAGTCCTCTTTGTTTTATCTGATAGAATGCTACACCATGCAAAGGGGGGGAAAAGCAGGTACTCCCTGACATTTATGTAGATCTTGGTCAGTTTCCATTAAAATATTTCATTTCCAATCATATTTATGAGCATTCATTTTTAGAGTTTTTAACCTTTTTTTGTGCCAAGGATTCCACTGGCAGTCAGGTAACACCTGCTGAGCCCTTCTAAGAAAAATGTTTTTAAGTGCATAAAGTAAAATACAAATGATTACAAGTGAAGTCAATTATACTTAATTATCAAGATAGTTTTAAACTGTGATAACATAGTATGCGTACTATTAATAACAAATCTAGCAGCAAGTCTATTTGTTGCCTATTCTCATAATTGAGTGAAATGCTAAATTTCCGTTTGAGTTATAGTGAAAACAGAGATGCAATGTTTCCCTGGTCTAAATTCAAGGACTCCCTGGATTTCATCTGTGGACCCTAGGTTAAAAACCCTTGGTTGAAAGAGCCAATAAAAATACATTTGTGAAACATCAAATGAAAAGTAAATCCCAGCAAAAATACAATATCCATTCAAGTGTGAGGTTAGGGGAACTAAGAGAATAAGCAGTATTTTCCCGAAACTCACGATGGGCCATTTGTCAGCAAGAGCATTGCATGCTTCAAATTGAATCCAGAAAGGGATTGGGCTCCCCTCATGCAAGTTACAAGAAAACAAAAGCTTTGAGGAACTGACAGCGCTGAAGTGGGGAAGCAGTGACCTGGAGGTGGAGTGATCCAGCTCAGCTATGAACTTGAAAGTCCTTCCTTCCTGTAGCCTCAGTTTCTCCATCAGCAAAATAAAAGGGCTGAACATGTACCACGACTTCTTAGCCTCCTTCCAGTTCTAAAANACAAAAGCTTTGAGGAACTGACAGCGCTGAAGTGGGGAAGCAGTGACCTGGAGGTGGAGTGATCCAGCTCAGCTATGAACTTGAAAGTCCTTCCTTCCTGTAGCCTCAGTTTCTCCATCAGCAAAATAAAAGGGCTGAACATGTACCACGACTTCTATCAGATTATCTCTTCCTTATGCTTGCCATTTCAGCCTACTTAGCTTAATTTCAAAACATCAATACCTTTCTTAAACTTGGAACAGAAAGTTTTACCAAATTTAAATGCCCTCATGTACAACCTAACACCGATGAGCCAAATATATGTATACCACAACTTTAAAAAAAAAAAACAACAACTGTTTTGCACATATCTGCTTCATAAAAAGCAATCACAGTATTGGTCATTTCTGCTATTTAAACAAAATTTCCATTCAAATTCTAGCACCATCAGCTCAAGAACATACAAAATCAACACAAACTGGGTTACCTAGAATATGTTAATTATACATTTTCCACTTTTGGAAAACGAACAAGTATTACAGGTACAGGCCAAGAAGGCTGTTGATGACTACCAAATCCAATCATATTTCATTAGTGCTAAAGAAATAGAGACAGAATGAGATACTAAGCCAAAATGACAAAGCTAGTCTCTGCAAGAAAGCAGGAATGAAACTCTGGTCTCCTGACTGTACCCTTCATGTTCTTTCCACTACACTGAACTGCCTCTCAATTTCTGACACAATTCCCCAACTTTCAGTGTAGCCAGGTTTAAAATAAATAGCAAAAAGGACATGACAGACCGAACATTTTCTGTACCTCCAGATACGTCATGGGCCCTACAAAGAGTTGTGGCTATGATACATTCACTGGTCGGAGTCATGAAATAATTAAATTCCACTTACCAAGAAAGTGATGACCCTACTAAAATCCTAACTACCTGGAAACTCCCTTAATATTGCGTAACACATGAAAATACGCAGAACTATTTCTATATGGACATAGACATATACACATACAGTTCCTCACAAATACATATATACTGTATATACAGGCGTACAGTTCCTCAGTCTGCACTCCAGGATTTCTCAGTGACATTTCATTATGAAATTTAGAAGAGAAATAAAAAGGAAAGTCACACAACAATTTCAAAAAAAGAAAGCAAAAAAAAAAAAAAAAAAAGCATTGTATTTTATAAGCAAAAGCTTCTATCAATATTGAGCATTTTTAGAGCTCAAGGTTAATTTTATCAATAAGGAAATCTACTAGAAATTCTCAATATTTATGTCCTAGATGATCAGACATGCAAAGTTGATATTAATTTTTATTTGACTGTTGTTGTTTCAAGAGGGAGGGCACTGTCTCAAGGTTTAAGGATCTTTTTAAAGTCTACCTACCTTCTCACTACTCCCCCAGGATTCTTCAATGTGCTCAATATTGCTGGAGAGTCAAAACCTACTCTCAAAAAAGAAAAGAAAAAGACCACAATTCTTCTAAGTATTCAAAAACCAAATGAGCATCTTCTTAGCAGTCTGGTCTCAACTTACATTTCACTTCCTCAGAAGAGACCTGCCCTGACCTCCTAAGCTAAAGAACTCAATACCTGCCTAGTGCAGACATTTCCTAAGCTAACCCACTTCTGTTGAGCACTTGGCAACACCTGAAATTGCCATTTATTATTCATTTGTTTACATGTTTCTTGTTTATGCCTGCCACACCACTATAATGAAAGCTCCTCCTTCACTGCTGATCCTCAAGGCCGACACAGTACTGGCACATACAGAAGATGCACACATAAAAGCTGAGTGTCTGGTAGGTGCCAGCTATGTCATACTCAGGGTCTCCTGGAAAATCACGAGTAAAGGACAGAGCACGTGCAATTGGCCATGCATTTACATAGCCTACTTTAGAGTAAGCCTATGACACCAGCACAATCCAGGGTATAAATCCTTGTCAGGGCTTTGAAATGCCCTGCACTTCCAGCTATGAACACAAAAGCTCTCCAGGCCCACTCACACATTGCTTTTCTGAAACATCTCAACAATGATTTCCTCAAAAGGAAATAATGGAATAAAGTTCTGGCCTAAGTTAATCTTTCCTGTCAGGTTCACAATGTTAAACATACTTCGAAGCCAGCCACAGAAACAAAACCAAACTCCACAAAATTAGGTTGGACTGAGGTTACATAAGACAAGCTAAACTCTGGCTCTCTTCCTGTCATCCCTCCCTCCTTCCAGTGAACCCTAACATCTGTCTTTTAAGTGCAATTGGATGCAGGTGAGAAAAACGCTCGTTTGTGCACAGCTTCAAAATAGGCAAGGAGTTTTCCAATAATACTGCACTTAATACTAGAGCAACAAAGTGAGGACTAGACAACTTTGGGCTGTACTGTCTGGAAGCTTCTCTTAAAAATTCTTCTCTCTAAAGTTATTTTTAAGTCGGCACTTACTTCAAGGTGTTCGTTATCAAACACTTTTTCCAGAGTTCTGAGTTTTTCCATACCCATGATTTCTCACATGCGCGCTAAACCTCCTTATCAGCACCCACGAAGTTCTGAATACAGGTCTTTCAACAGAGGACAAAAGCGCGGGTTCCCGGGAGTGACACAGCCAAAGGAAAAAATAATCCTTTCTCCTCCAGTCCTAAACCCAAGTTGCTCCTGCTCCCGAGTTTCCCGCACTTCCCCCTCTCCGCTCCGCTCCCCCGTCCCTGCCCGCGGCATCCCGCTCTAATCCCGCGAAGCCTCGCTCCCGGCTTATTAAGGGTAAACAATAGAAATGTCACAAGGAAACTCAGGAAGTAGATGAAGTCTCTAATTGCTGCCGTTTAACGATTGTAGATAATTACTATCTTCAAAATGTGGTTTTCACCAGCGGAGAAGGAGCCGAGGCGGCCGAGGCTGGCGAGCCCCCCGCCGCCGGGACGACGTCAGCGAGGCCGCGGCCGGGGCGGAGGGACGGAGGGGAT